AGTAGTAGTAGTAGTAGTACGACGACTACTACGAGTGCGACAGTTACTGTTACAACGAGGACTACTGAGGCGACTACTACGACTACCACTACCATCGCCACTGCCACTACCACTGCCAGAGACATACTGCGAACTGTGAATTTTGTTCGTAACCATCTGGAGCCTTGTCTCAAGTAATTCACAAGTGTGTTTGACGTCCCGTGAGATCTATCCCGCTGCAAGCTTTCCCTATGCTGTTCACGCTTGCTCTAACCGACCGAACGGAGACCAACCTGTGCTCCAAAAAGCGGGACTTCTACCCAGCACAGCAGAGGTTAAACATGCTCCAGGACCAGGTGGGCGTTGCTGAGCCAGAGGTTTACTTGCAGGGAAGTCTTCTTCTGTGTTTCTTCGGTCTTTTCAAACCGCTGTTGGCCTTCGTGAAGAGATTCTGGCAAGATTGCAAGCCTGTGGCGCTGTTGGCGGAAACGCGCAGGTCACTCAATTGGCCAAGGAGTGCTCTGCGCGAATGCAGCATGAAGCTTGGCTTTTAGGCGCTTGCGCACACGGCCCACCTAGGAGACTAGTCTCGTGGAGGCCCTTCCATGCAGTGCGGTCAGCTTGACAGCCCTGACAGCCCAGGAGAAAGATATGGAGATGCAGGTGCAGATGCTGGAAGAAGAAAACCGGGAAAAGGACGACATGCGGCGAGGCTCAAAGAGTTGAGGAATTCGAGGGCCTAGCTTGGGAAAGGCAGAAGCAGGGAACATTCTAAGGGTTCCTTTCAGGGCTCCTTTAAGGGAAGACCGCTTCGCCACCATTTCCGCTGCTGCGACGACTCATGGGCAGTTCGGCGTGCGCAAAATCAACGCCGCGAGCTCAAAGCCCGAAAGCCCCAAAGCACCAAAAATCCTACAAGTCCTGCACCTCTTATGCAACCGAGGATCGCCAGCCAGCAGCAGCAGCTTGAAATTGAGCAGGAAGAGGTCCTCCGAGCGCAGCGCCAGGCCAGGGACCAGGAGGCTGGGGATTTGAACAGAGAAGGTGGGTTGAACTGAAATTGGGTAGTTTTGAAAATTAGGGTCCCTTTTTGGGTCCCCAATATAGTACGGCACCCTTATAAGAAGGACCCCCAAAAGGGACCCTAATTTAGAGAACTACCCAACTGGAGACCTGGAGGCTGCTCGAGTTTACCGATCCATGGTATTATTTCTAGTGATTTTCTTGTCGGAGTGGTCTTCCGGCTTATAGCCGTAGGCGATTCGCAAGGTTTGTGCTTGAGGAGAATCTTATGGTTGGAGGTTGTTGGTAGCAATAGTCCCTAAACCCTAAACCCTAAACCCTGAACCCTAATAATAGTCAATTTAGCCTCAAAGTCTGGAGAACCTGGAAGAGATTGGGGGGGAAGAGAGTTGGGAGCAGTGTTGCCGATGAAGTGGGATGCCGGCATTAGGCTCAACATGGCTCGGGCCTTGGGCAAAGACCATGCCGTTGTGCTGTAGCGACGCTTCTATGGATTCCTGCTGCACGTGGCCAAAGCGTTGCTTCATCACATTTTTCCACAGTCTTCTCGCGTAGCGTTGCCTTCAACTGTCCTTCGACATCGGTTTGCTGGGACCAGGCGCGCGGGAACCTCAACTGGATCCAGGTGAAGAGAGTAGACTGGGATGGCGACGCTGGGCCCAAATGCCAGTCACACTTTGTCATGTCGGATGATTGAAATTTGTGCAAACACTGCGGGAGATGATGCCCAAATGCCAGTCTGGCAGTGCTGTATTGTATGACCCGCCGCCCAAGAATAAGATCAAGCAACCATCCAACACCATGGACATGCACAAGCAAGCACTAGGAAGAAGCAGAGACTATTTAAAGCCCATGGTTAAAAACCCATCAGATTGTGACCAGCGAATTACTTGTTTTGGCTCGCGAGCATGTCGTCCGTCATGGCTGTGTCCATTTCCTGCCCCAGCGCCCTAGGACATAGCCCCGAATCGTGACCATGGCATGCAAACTCACACTGCACCCCTCAGAAACCCGTGGGCCAGGGAGTGGTGCTAGATAAGGACGGATACAGTAGTAGTCGGCGTGAACTTATAGCTACAAGCATGCTGGCAAAATGGTGCGAGGAAAGGGGGAAAATGGCATGGAAGCACAAGTATGCAGACCACAACGCTATGCCCAGAAGGCAGCAGCATCATGCAGTAGTTTCGGAAGAAAAAGCATTCGGCTACAGTGATTGGTTACTTCTGCCATATGAGTACGTGGCCATGCAAGGACACCACAGCAGAGAACGAACACGACGGTCGGAGACGGCGATTTCATGAGAGCGTTCCAGCACACATATAGTAGAACTACAGCGCAATGATAGCAGTAGTCGTAAACATGGTGTTGCGATAGCCTGAAGCTGTCAAGCTTCAGCATTGTCGTAGCAAGGCCTCATTCAACATTGCACATCACCGCAAAGTTGGGCATACCAAAGCATAACATAGCATGGCAGCTGGCGCAACTGAAGTGAACGATGTGTCTACTCGCGCACAGGCATGACCGACATGCCATGCACTGCATGGTCACGGTTTATTTATGGATGCTAGGGTCTCTTCCGGTATGTGCCTTCCCATTGCTCGTGTGCAATGTTCTTTTGCAGTGCTTCGTGGCTTCTCTTTGTGTTCGTGTGCACCATGCCAAGGCTTTAGGCATCAGATACTTGTAGAGTGCCGATGTGAGCCGGGCTTTTCGAATCGAAGATCGCCGCATTGTGGGATTCATGGTTCATCTGATGGCATGGGTAAGCTCGCGGCCGATTTGTGGCGTTACACTGTCAATGTCGTTTGAATCTAAACCCTAAACCCTAAACCCTAAGATGCGGGCCGTGCATCTTCTTGGACCTGAGGACCTGTCCGTGAATCCATCGCGTGTCAAGGGCTTCCAGGCCGGTTATCCTCGTCATCGACATTGGTACAGTACTGGTAGTTTGCCGTGGCCATGATAGGTTTGCGGCAGTATATTTTAGCATATTTGAGCAAACTGTAGTCTATTGTAGTTTATTATAGTCTACTATAGTATATTATAGTGTCTTATAATATGTTACAGTATGTTATAACGTATAATAGTACGTTCAAGTATGTCATCGTATATTATGGTATAGTATAGGGGTGCCAGGCTTCTTGGCTTTTTGAGGAGTTTTCTATGCCGAAGTCGAAGCCTCACAGGTTGCAGTGGAAGCCCGCGGACATGGCACACTTCTCTTGAAATCCATCACGCAAGCGGCAGATGGTGACTTGGTTGCACATATGGGGGTTTCCGAAAATTAGGGTACCTTATTTTGGGGTCCTTATAATAGGGATCCTACTATTTAGGGTACTATATTAGGGTCCCCTATTTTTGGAAACCCCCATATACGTAGGGCAAGCGCTTCTCTGTGCAATCATACACTGCCCTGATTTGATGTATTTCGTAAGGGTGGGATGTCCGACATGTGTGGTTTACGCGACGGTTCTGCACACAACTCTTTATCATGTCAAGGTTATCCCATGCCATGCTCCTGAAGCGCAAGGTATGTGCAGAATGGCCAGCGATGGAGGATCTTGATGCCATGCTTGGTCCAAGTCTTTCGTTTGGCTTGGGCCTGGGTTTACACGGTCGGATGCGCTTCGGCAGGTTTCACGAGTAGTGCGTAGTGATTAGTATGCAAATGAATGCAAAACTGTGCAGATGCCCGAGCCTTTGGTGGGTGGAGTCAGAGAAGGATTTCTCGAGAGGTTCTGTGTTTGTGTCCTAAGGATGTATTGTAAGGCTCGGACTCCCGTGTTGCCCGGCACCCACAAGTGGTGGTCGTAGCAGGTGCTAGTCGAGCTAGTAGAGCTGGTAGAGTCTATGAGCCTAAGATCTCGGAGGCCGCTGTCGCACGACAGGGCTCCTCCTCGTAGCAGAAGTGACAGAATTGGGCTCATCTGCTCCTGCTGCGTTCATTCCTTCGTGACTCGATGCCGAGTGTTTCAGGACTTTCGTAGGCTGAGATGAGGCTCAGATAGAGCAAAGAGCTGTGAGCTTGTCTTTGTGAGGCCCCGACCTGTGCAAAGTGCGTAATGGATCTGTGATGCCTGCGAAGTGCTGCTGATACTGGGAGGCCGCCGACTGCCTGGGCCAGCGCTGGTATTCTGTGTGGCTGATTCTGGCAGTTCTTTTCCTCTGATTTACGCCATGGCCGTTGGTGAATGCACTGGAACTTTTCTATGGTGAAAGTGGCGCACCCAATAGTCTTTTCTGCAGAGTCTGAGGCTGGGACGGGTTGCTCCGTTCGACAGTCGCAACATACTGGGTCAATGCTCTGGCATGCAGTTCATGCTTTGTAGCCATCGTCGCAATGACGACGGCACTTCGTAGTGTTATGCATACAAAGATCTCCCCTTCGGACACTCCTCTTGTTGTGTGTTGACGTCTGTCGTAGACATCGCAAGGTTCCCGCCGTGCATCCTGAGATTATAACACACATTCCAGCAGTTTGCAATCATGTTGAAGTTGACGTCTAACAAGTGTCCCACAGCTTCACGTGGGCAGCTTCATCTGCATGTGGGACGCAGACTCCGCAAACTTTGTGGTTCGGAGCGAAAACAGCTCGAGTGAAGCCTTCCGACTGCGATAGCGCGGTGCAGCTTCGCGATTCAGCACATTGAGCCCTTATGGTGCGGAATGCGCAGCCAGTTTGAGGTAGTGGATGTGGCACTTGGCAACATCTATGGCGCCTGGGCCGAGCGTTGATTGCGATTGTCCAGTGTCCTCGGCTTCGCACTCAATCTGAATTGGCCCGCTTTACTGAGGTGCAGTCCTCGGAGTCACCGCGTCCGTTCTGGCAAAGACGGTGAGTGCTCCTTGGACGACGGAGTGCTTGATGCAATTCTGATGCGGTGTTCAGAATTCTCTGTAAGCTTTTGCTTTGCAAGCATAATGTGGGTCTGTGTCAGACTTCATAAGACATGTGGCAGGACGAACACCGTTCCAGGCAAGGGCAGTTTCCAATGCCTTGGTTGGGTGAAGCGGAAACGAACGTCCCGTTCTCTATGGTTTTGTCCATGCGTGGCTGGGGATTTGTGTCGCAGGCCTAATTTTTTGTCCGAGCCTAGGCATTGCTGTCGCTTTTCATCGGTGGCATGGCTGCAGTTACGCTGTCTCGCCTGCAGCGTCGAAGGAGAACAACATCAAGCGAAGATAAGCGAAGCACCTGCAGCCACAGGGTATGTGTGGGGCAACCTGCTGGCATGTCCAGTAGAAGTACCCCCAGTATGCTGTTTCAAAGCTCGGGGAGAGCAACAGATGCAGTTGTCAGAAGTCTGGCCTGAAGCCAGGTCGCATTTTCGGAAAGGCCTGGAGAACATGGAGACGATCAGACGATGTTTGGATGCGACAGATTTTGAGCTGCGTTGTGCTGGTAGATAACCACGGGACAGGTTTGCACATTGACATCGTAAGCGTGGATCGCAACCCTAAACCCAAGACGCTGGGCTCTGAGGGTAACCCGTGCAATGCCGTAGTGATGATGAGGACGAGGATGCTGCTGCTAATAAAGCTTTAGGTGAGCACCAGAGTAGTACTGACCCCTGTATGAAACCCCCAGAGTGGATTCTCATGGAAGCTTGACAAACCGCAGCAAACTGGGCGCGACTGGTGTGCTGGGAGAAACCCACGAACCGAAGCCCAGCATCCCTTTGGCCCTGAAAGATGGCTCCCGGACCCACGAACCGCCCAAGCCCCGGCCAAGAACAGCCTTCGCGCCCGCAAATCCCAATGCTTCGCATCGCTTCGCATCGCTTCGCAGGCCTTGGGCCTAGAGTTCCCAGAAATCCTGCAGAAGCGCATGGGCGCTGTGCAGAAGCGCCCGCTCCAGGCGGGAAGCTCAGTGTTCCCGATCTCTTTATGACAGTGGGATTTTGTAGATTGACATGGCTGAAATGCTGAAATGCCTTGGCCTTGGGTTTAGTCCGTGCTGCACTGAGCGGTTGCCACAGAAGTTGTTCATGGGCTGTTGCAGCGAGGTCACGGCCACCAGTCCCTCAGTGTGTGACGTAGGATTCGTGGCTTCCTTGTTGCTCGTGTCGAGGCCCTTTTCCTGGCTAGGCCGGAATGCAGGGAGCGAAACCACAAAGGGCTCGAAGCTTTTGGGGAGGTGTCGACGTGGTCTTGGGGGGAGAAATAGCCGCTGACGATCGGACCTTCTTGGCCCTGGAAGGTTAGCACCCATATCCACAGGGGTGAAAAACTACGCCCTTGCCTTGCTGCCGGCAGAGGACCTTGAGCTTTGCAGGTGCCAGGTTTGCGATATTGCGCTACGTGCAGGGCAAGGAACTGGTGAAACTCACGGCCCCTGACGCCCACACCCAACGCAAGTGGTAGTGACAAACAACAGATGTTCATGACCAATACTGTGTTATTGACCATCATTATTTTGGCGGTTCTTGTTGTCAATAAGTTTTTCAAAGGCACGCAGAGTTTCGGTCGTGATATACAATGCTCCAGAGGACGTGCCGCTGCTGCCGCGCCTGGTGCTGCAAAGTTCAGTTGGGTCTTCATCTTGTAGCGTCATGGGTTTTGGTTCGGTAGTCTTTGGGAGCGTTGTGGCTTAGCGGTTAAACCCTGAACCCTAAACCCTAAACCCTAAACCCCAAACCCTAAACCCTTGAGTTGCAGGATCGGAGGTCCAAAGGTGAGAGATTGAACTTGGCCTCGCTCTTGTCATCAAAGCCTGCCCGGGTGTCCAGGAGCATAAGAGCAATAACAACAGAGAAGGTTACGGTGCTTTGAGGATGCTGGCATCATCGTCATTGTTGTTGTCGATGACAATGATCGTGGTGGTGACGGTCTTCCTGCGAAAACAATCGATTTCGGAGTCGTGCTTTTGGGTTTTTCCATGGGAGGTGGATCACCGGCACCCGTTGGGTTCAGTGCAGTATCGCTCCGAGCCTTGAGAAATTTCCGTGTATCCCAGGTATACATTGGCAGTACTTGCCGCGAACCTGCTGGTGACGACGGGAATTTGTGTCCTGGGCGTCTGTCGCTCAGGTCCTGCTTCTTGTAGCGACTAAACTTGACTAAGCTAGAGCGCGCACGCTCTGCTGTTTAGTCCATGTGCGAGTGGATGTGCCCTGCGCACTTGCTTCATGACCAACCTATCCTTGAACTCGTGCAGTCCTGTCTGGCTGAGGCCGGAGCAGATAACTTGGTGGATGCCCTGGACCAGGTAACTGGCAGTTAGCGCGAGTGCAGCCTGGCAGCACTTGCGATCTATACTATCATATACAATACTATAATATAATATAATCTACTATACTATACTATACTATACTATACTATACTATACTATACAATACTGTACTATACTATACTATACTATACTATACTATACTATACTATACTATAATATAATATAATATAATATAATATAATATAATATAATATAATATAATATAATATAATATAATATAGTATAATATAATATAATAAAATGCGTGAGGGTTTGGTATTGATGATATGTT